GTATGTGCAAGAGAGTTTGGGGGCAGGGGAGACTCCTAAAGGCCAGAGGTGACCTTATTACTAAATGGAAAGCTTTATCTATTAGCTGCAGTTGTTCACTGTCTTTGTGTCCACACACACATATTTACACACAGGGAGCAGCTAAAGCAGCAGGTACTTTGGGAAGCAACACTCAAAGCAACGCTGGGATAAGACATACTACCACTGCTGCAATATAGCACAATTTGTGTCACTACAGTGTTTTAGCAAGGACAAACTAGGGAAGACATCACAATTACAGGCTTTGGGAAAAATACAAGGAGAAATGGGAAAGAAGTTACACAAATCAGGTATAGATAAAGGTGGCTACAGCAGTGAGATGTCAAGTATCTCAACAAGCTACAATATACCTTCAACTCACCCTGCAGTTATTTTTCATTAAAAACAAAATCAGGCTTAATTTGAAGACAGCTTTCCTCACTCAAGAGGAACTTATCTTCTCTTAAATAACAGATAAATCAATACAACTGGATAGGGCTCAGCAGGCTCAGTGCCCCAGCAATTAGTTGAGGGGACCCTGAGTAAGACCGCAGGACCCTTCTAACAAAATTGCCTCCAGTTTTAAAAGACTGTTTCTAGTACCAGCATAAACCAAACACTAAAATCTAAGATGAACCAGGCACAAGAATTCTGTTTTTCATGGCCTAATTATGTTCCCTCCTTTTGCCATTTGCTGTTTTAAGTATGCCAATTCCCATTCCCTCAGCTGGACAAGTATCTGGACAGCAGCACATCACTGCCCACAGGGACACCTCTGGAAGTAGCAGGCACTGTTAGAGGTCACCTGCTGAGCATCCCACTGAGGGTCTCCATTTTTCCTGTTCTCACATTTGATCTTCAACCACCTTCTTATCTTTTTTTGATTCATTACCCTTTCTCATTGTTTTCTCCCAGCATCCTTTTTCCTATAAAGGCTATTCTGGCTTGGTTAGGATGAGCTGATAGAAGTGGTGGAAGAGGATAAGTTTCTGAAGAAAGTAATGAGCAGAGCAAAAGTTATCCCCATAGAACTGACCACAACCAGGCATGCATACAATTAGAAGAGACCAGTGGTCTCCACAGCACACTTATCTTAATGAACTTTTAATATATTTGATTTGGTCAACTAAGAGAGGGCTTAAGATCCACTCTTAAAATCCACTTGCGTAACAGATAACCCAAGAGAGAGCCACTGAAGAGCTGATCAAACACAACACATAGAATTGCTCCCCAAAGTGTAAATGTAGGTAAAAAACAAACAGCAAGTAGAGAGCAGGAGATTCCCTCTGCTCTCTGCAAAAAGAAGGACAAGTCAGGCCCTTTCAGACACACTTCAAAGTCCTGTACCACTTCTCCTGCGCCCAATCACGCAAGCTCAGCTCTCCTTGTTCAGATTACAAGAGCCAGGCCTCAGACAAAGCAACCCTTAATAAATACCAGATCGCAAAACCCCCAGACCTCACTCAACACAACCAATTGCACGTGCTGCCGCTTGCCAGGACCTACTGCCCATTAGACAAGGCCAGGGAATGAAGGCATGCCATCTAACACTTAGCTCCAAACCACTCAAGTCATTCGCACCTTTTTCTATGACATTTCCTAAGCAGGATCCAGTCTGTAATTCCCTTTTGGGAAAATGGCAAGAGGAATAAGGATCAATGTGCTTCTTCCACATTGGGAAGAAGTTGGGAGAGTTTGGCTGCTAGTCAGTAATGGCACAGTGGAAGTAGACAGGACATAGCTTGGGGTATCTGGGCAAGATTTCTAGAGAAAGAGAGGGCAGAGATCATGTTCCAGCATGAACTTAGACCCTAAGGGACTGTCTGGGTGGCAAGAAGCCCAGAACCGCCACCCATCCTGGCCCTGTTTCCCATTACCTCAGCCCACACACACTCCCTTCCACCCTCCTGCCAGCCATCCTCGAATTGTTCCTCTCCAAAGGCCGCAACAATTGCTGAGCACAGGCAAAATAACAGAGCCCCGTACTCATCATAGCACTTTGGGTCCGAGACACCATTTTGGCAAGCTAGTTTGATTCACAAGAATAAAAAGAACCTATGGCAGCCACAAGCATTTTTCTTGAATACTCCAAGGAATAAGACACAGCCCAAGACCTCCTGAGTCTGGAAGAAGTTGTTTTACCATATCCATCTATTATCACCTCCTCTGAAATCAGATGTCCAGAAACACCAGAGACAGACAAAATAGATCCATATGGAGCAGCTCTATCTGCAGCTGACACTGTGCAGCAGAGCAGGGTGCTGCTGCACGTCCTGCATGGTCCTGCACACCCACTCATGGTGTTGGGGCTGTGCAGGGCAACACCATCAGCTACCTGCTCATGGTAGGGAATGAAACACTGAAAGGAAATGAAGCATGGAAAAAGCAAGGAGCAGAAGGATCCTGCAACTGGAAAGACAGCAGGGGGAGAAATTCATGGAGAAAGGAGGTCAAGTGACAGCCACCTAGAGAGGCATTCTACCATCCTGTAAAGGGCAGGAGAGTCTGAGGAAGTCTGTATTTGCATCTATGCACTTGATTACATACCTCCATGCTCTCAAACCAGTCATCCTCCAGGACCAGGATCACGGAGGTTTTATAACCCTCAACACAGCTACCAAAACATTACAGCTTTCTTACAACCACACCACTATTACCATGGTAAATACACGTTTCAACTCTACAGAAAGTCAAGCACAGTACTTCAATAATCCACATCTGCTGTTTAGTTATCTTCTCTTCAACATGTATTTTCACATCAGAGCTTAAACTAAGATTTCTGGAATTCAACCTTTGAGGTGTTGCTCAAAACAGAAGAACTAGCAGCTGGAGGTGAATATCCTAGAGGATAGGGCAGCACAGCCCAGCAGCCCCACCGGAGTTATGGGATGGCCAGTCCCAACAGGAGGGAAACGCTTAGAGCCATAACTGGCAGGAATGGGCAGGGTCTGCCCCTGGGAGGGATGCTCAGACCACCATGCAGCCTGGAGCAGGGCAGCAGCCAGTCACGCCAACCACTTTTCACAGCTACAGCTGTAAGAATGTCAACTGGCAGAAAGCAGTGAACAAGCTAACTGGGGCCAAGGGAAGTTATCATTTTTATGCCATGATGCAGATGCTTCAAAGGTGCCTCATGATGCTCAATGGCAGCCTGACAACAATTTGACTTGCATCGTACCTTGGCTCCAGGACAGGAGTGGTTTTCCTTTAGAACTGCCCATGTAGGCTCCATCTTCCCCATACACTCCTCCTGCCCAGCATGGCTGCGCCCCACTGGCCTGCTTTGGTGAGTGACCTACAGACAGCCAACATCCTGGCTTTTCTTAAAAGCTTAATACTCAGAATATTTTATTGGCTGGATAGCCTCTTACTGAAATTACTGTACTATTTTCACTTGTTTCAGCCAAAATTGAGGGCAATTTTGCTTAAATAAGCCTGTCTGTGCAATTAGCTCTATTTCACCAGGGAAATTTGCTCTCACTTGTGCACATGACATCATCTGTTGACATAACCCCACCGAAACAGGCATTTCAAACCCTTACACTCCACCATTTCACATGCTGCAATTATACTCAAGCTTAAATGAATCTTTGACACTAGACTTGTGCTGTTTCACTTCTCTACCATGCACTTTGCTTGGCTTTGTTTTTCCAAAAATAAATATTTGCTTCTGCAGACTTGCACTGGTTTCCATCATGGCCAGAATCTCAACTATAGAAATTAAGGTTTCTATAATGGCAAACCTTAAGATTTCCAGTGATAATTTTTCAAACCAAATTATACATTCTGCTTCTAGAACGACTTGGGGAAAAAACATCCAGTAAGAAAAAAAAAGAAGACCCCATGCCCAATTAACACAACCCAACACGGGTTTTTACCATGTCTTCCAAAGGCAATCGCTGGAGGATGCCAACTGTGGAAGTCCTTCAAGTAGAAAAAACCTCAACCTGCTAAAGCCTGCTTTAATGTCCTTCTGTTCTCAAGTAAGGTTTTTCTGCTGTGAAAAATAGAAGCCAGTTGCATTAATTCTCACACATAGCAAGGATTAAATCATTTTAATAGTTACCATACAACTGCTTAAATGTTTTTAAGTATTGTTTCCATCTTCATACCATTACTGCAGTTACTACACATAGATATAGCATTCAAGCATTTGGAGTGATACAGCATTTATACAAGAGCCTTGAGGAAGAGTTCAGTGCCAGCCATGATATCCATGTTTCCCTTCCCCTTTATCTGAAAGAGCCCTTGTACTTTGGCATTTCTACTTTATATAGCAACCAAGAAATGGTCCAAAACTTTAACTCAGTATCATTCATTGGTAGGCAATAATCAGAAAAGACCCAAGGAACTGTGACAGGACTGCCTGCCCACCTGAGCTTTTGGGATTTGCTGGAAATTAGTCCCTCATTCTCAGGAATTTATCCACTGGCACCAATCTCCCTCAGCAAGCTCTCTAGGCACACCCGACAGCATTCAAGCTAATGCTCTTCTCCACAAAACCCTCAACAGGAGTCATTACATGAGACAACCTCAGAGATTGCAGCCCCTCAGAGGAGCAGCACAGCCAGCAATTCCCAAATCAAAAGTATTACATTTTACAAGGGGAGTCACAAGCCCTACCAACTTAGTTGTTAGAGAGAAACCATAAACCAAAGAGCAATGAAGCAGGTCAGAAATCGAGATGCAGGAAAGGCTGTTTTAGGCAATTATATAATTAGTGGTCACTTCCAGACAAGAATAAAGTCCTGCTTACTGCTTAATTCTTCTCACCAATCATCTGCTCCGTGGCTGTAAAGCTCATGGAATTGGAGTAAAGTTGTTTCTGAAGTTGACAACACAAATGAGTATCTGATGAGCACTTGGGAGAGAGAAGTAGCTAAAATACTTGGACAGTAGTTCCTATGAGAACTTTTAAAGCCACGTTATCTTCCAGGTTCAGTATGCAGACTACCCCCATCCCATAAAAAAGGAAACGATAGTACTTTATTAAAATACTAAATTTTATTTTTTTTCCACATACATTTAGTCTCCCCACCATTTCCATTTGTCTGACCACCACCACCACCACCATGCCTTATCAAAACATTCCATACATACTTAAAAGGAAGCGGAGGGTGGAGTCCCATCTTTAAAAACTAAACAGGCATTTTGGACAACACATTCTTGGCAAAGTATTCTGGATGACATTTATCAGACACGGTAGGGGAAATAGGGAAAGCTCTTTCAGCATTTGTAAAAAGGACAGCCAAATAATGGTTACAGAAATAAGACTGAAGATTTTAATGAACTGTTTAAACTGTTTTCTTTTCTTACAGAGTCTGTCTCCACTGCCAGAGAGCTTGAATGACCTGGAAGTGTACAAAAAAGTTAGAAATTGAAATCCATTTTTCTAATTATTTTCAGTTTACTATCTCCATTTTCTCCACAAAATATTGACATTAAATTACAACAAAAAATGCATTCCTTTCAGAGAAAATCAAGTAGAAAGCAAGACACTAGGTCCTTCTGCTAGAAGACTTAGATTCACTCTAAGTCACAATAGTAAGAATTCAGTGAAGGTAAGTGAGAGGATGGGTGTGGACCAGCTAGGCAAATATTGGCTGAACTCTGCCTACCCTGGCTAATGTCAGACCAACTCCAGTAGCTGAGTCTAACTCCTTTTAAGCATTCCTTCAAGAACCTATCAATTTGTCTATCAGACAAGTTTTTACTCTGAACCACCGAAGGAAGCAGGAAAGCATAAGGAATTCTGTCACTGGAAGAAAGTTTTAACTTAGGAATTTTGATAGGGAAATCTAAGACACATTTCAGCCTAGTGTAAGTTGAGTAATCAATTCAGAAACTTGCTTCCTGATACCACCTTTTGGCTTGCCCTCTTACAAGAGTTCAGTTGACTTTGGGAGAAAATGTAGCAAGAAAGCCATAATCTCAATCACAAAATAGTTCCCCCTCCCAGACACCCTCCCCAACAAAAGGCTGAACAGCAGACTGGCCTAGGTGGCCAAATTCAGCAGCAAGGAAAACCACAGCTCATTTCCTTAGCCAATATGGTGCCAAAAGGAAAATTCTGTGGGTTTAGTAAGCAAGAGATAATTTACCAACCATATAAAAGCTGGAAAAATGTAATAAAATATTAGCTTTCCTATCTTAGCCAACTAAACCCTTAAAACCATTCCCATTTATTTAATTTGAAGTATTGTTCGTGGTTTGTAACCCTTTGAAGCAGTCCAAAACTTGTAAAGATTAAGAAGTGGAAAAGAATCTCTAAGTCAGGTTATAAAAGTTTTTGGACTTTATCAAGTTCCAATAAATTCAGTTACCTTCTGGTCCTCCGTCCTGAAGCAATTCTTAACATAGTTGGCAAATTTGGGTTCCAGCTTAGGAAGGGAAGAACCCTATTTGGAAAAAAGCAAGCTTTAGTGTATCCAGGTCATTTAATGACTCCAATAACTAACTTATGAAGCTTAAACCCTTTGCAATACACGTGGAAATTTACTGAACTCACCTTGCAACATCCCAAACCAATCTGCTTTTAAACCATCTTTTAAAAGTTTGCTTCTCTACAGTACCCAGGTAATTCTCACAGGACCAAGTGCCTACACACCAAGATGGCTGTACAAGCATGGTTGCTCATGCTCAAAAGCACTACAGCAAACATTCACCACTTAACCTTCCTTGTCTGTAGTCAACATTCATATGCTATTCAGATAAACTAGAACCAATTCCGTATTTATGGATTCTTACTACAGCATGCAACTTGAGACATTACTATCCTTCACAGGTAGGTCTTCTACTTCAGCTCTCTAAAGAAAAAAATTACCTGATCTCCCACCTACCCTTTCAGACTCACTCTAATACATTAGTTCTATGAAACTGTTCTAGAGACATTTGCTTGTATCTATGAAATAGTCTTTGTACATACTCAAATGTACAAAGCGGATTCAGTAATTCATGGATCTAGGTTTATCCTCATGCCTTCTCCTAGCTCCAGGCAAAATACAGCACAGTATTTTTAAGAGTCATCAATTTACTCTCACATGCCCCATGAGTAGCATTTTTCCCATTTTTCAACTACTCAAGTCAAAATATACCTAGCCAATTATGATAGTACACTTAGCTGCTCGGTACACATTGCAAAAGACAGCAATTTCATGTTCGAAGGAAACAAAGCTACATTAAGAATGTTTGAAACTGCAACAAAAAAGCTTGGATTTGGACAATGTCTTACCTCTGGATTCTGTCAAGTAGTGATGCTTTTCTATAAGCTTGCTGACAGCTACTTACTACATAATACAGCAGTTTCACTCTAATGATTTAGTAAAATAATAAAGTTATTTTTTTAAAGTTGCTAATTGGCTGGCCATCAGCTAGAAGTGCTATGGTATAGAGCAATGCACAAACCTTTTGTCTTAGTAAGGTATGCTCTAGCACCATCTTGGAAAACATTAAATTAAGCTGCCTGCTATTGCTTCTACATATTTGTGCTTATACAGCATTTCCCACTAAAAACTCTCCAGCAACAAAAAGTACATTCTAAAGCTACTTGCTACTTATCTGCTCTGCATGCTTCCCTCCACAGGGACATCTGTCTGCTGTGAGCAGCCCAGCTACTTCTGCTTACACTGCAGAAACATCACTGATTGTGGCTCCTGAGTCATGCAGAAAACCACCCTAGCATCCACTAGATCCAAGAGGTTAGTTTGACCTAGCAGAACGATACCATCCATCACTGTCAGGTTCACACTTCAGGGATATGCATTTCGATCCTGATCGCAAGCTGTCATTGCTCACTCCGCATCCACTCTATATTGGAACACTTTTTGTTTTATTTGGCATTCCTAGGACAAAAATGCCTCAAAATATCAAGAATCTGAGCAGAAGATAATCCTAATTATTTAGATTACTTGATTGCTCATGTAAGGTGGAAAAAGTATTATCACCTCAGATCAAACCATAACTCTCCACAGCACTGAAAACAGCGTAAGCTTTAGTCAAAAATATCTCAAATACAGAATCTGGTTCAGTCACAAATGAGCACGTGATCTCAAAGCACACCTCTGAGCTAGTGAAGTAAAACCAGAACTCACAGTCTAGAGGTCAGGTCCTCACTACCACCTATTCTGCAGCACAGGTGTGTACTGAACTGCACCCCTAGCTAGCGCACAGGTTTCCAAGCTTGGCTAAGAGGGAAAGACTTGCTATTACCTGCTACACTTTTACCCCACCAGCCTATAACTAAAATGCAATTTTATTTTTTATACTTAAAGAGCAGCAAAGAATAATACTCATACACATAACCATGGAGTGCTAGTAAAAGCTGATAGCAAACAAAAGCTGAGTATCTGCTCTGTGACCTTCAAAAGATGAAACATCCTTTAAGGGGAGACTCAATTAACACCACATCTCCAGTTCAGAAAGCAAATGCTTTCAGCCTTCATCGATTCATTAATGTGTATGACATGCACCTATCTCCCCCTTCTGGAAGTTATAAAGCCCTACAAGCATTGAGATCTCTCAATTGCATAGTGCTTTAAGACCAAGCAATTCCAAGCATGTGAAGAACACTGCTTTACTCTAGTTGCCTAAAAATAATGCATACATTAGTTAAGACAACTTCAGGACAAATATCACCCAAAGTTTGTTGCGTTTTTTTAACATTAACTGAGACAGTTAAAATACCAAATTGCTAATCATTGCTACTGAAGAAATACAAAAACAAAGTAGGTGGTTTTGTTTCTCCTAAGTACAGAGGCTTCTTTTTGTCCCAAACACATTTTCAGTTCTCTGAGCTTCAATATCAACTTATTCCGATAACAGCAGAGCAATCAGTGACATGTAACCATTTCTTAAAAACATTAAATTACTATTATCTGTGGAACTGTAAAAACAAGGCTGACAAATCTCAAGTTTCCAAAAACTCACCTTATCTATGGACGCTTGCATTTTTGCTTTAATCTCCTCTAATGACAGAGGGACTTTTGGTGTTTTTGGAGTTAGAGATTTATCCTTCTTGGAATCTGGAGTCTAAAAATTATTCATTTAATTAGGAACTCACGCATACATAAAGCTTAGTATACAAGATCAAGTTTTTAAAAACAAGAACATTAAAACCTACTGTAGAATTTATATGGAACAAAAGAACTAGCTATTGCATAGGTACTTTAGATAGTTCTCAAAAAGTCACAGAAGTTAAAAATTTTGTGCTTCAAACACATTCCTCAGAGAAAATGAAAAGAACAACATCCAAGTTTGGAGTTACTGCACTGAGCTTAGCCAGTATCTTATGTTACCGAGCAGGTAACATAAAGCCCACAGAGCAGAAAGCCCACACAGCTTTCTCCCAACAGAAGTGAAACTGAAAACAGCCTATTCAGTGATTTAGTTTACTCCACAACTGCAGCCAGATTAAATCATGCTTTACAGAAGGCACACATCTGCACTGCTTTTCAGATGCTATCCTGCCATCCAGTCATCCCACACTAATTTCTGTATCAATCTTCCTTGCATGCACATTTGAGTACAACAAGGAAAAGCTACGCAAGGAAGCTTGACAACTAGAAAGCAATTGAACAAGAAAAATAATAGTTCCCCAACAGATGAGTTAAGTGAGGCTTCCTTATGAGCAGCAGCAGCATCCTCCTGTTGTACTGCAGTGGCAACACAGTTGGCACTCATCCTCTTGTACACACAGTTACACAAATAATAGACGTGTATTTTAAATCATGGAATCACCAATCCATGGAATTACCATCCCAGGGACAGCATGTCTGATTTTGGATCTTGGCTGTTGTAGCTGTATATTGATCACTAAAGAGTTTCACAGTGTAACATGAAGCAATGAACAATATCCCCAACATGCATCACGTTACGATTCAAAAAACCTAACTTAACTTTCATTAAAGTTACCCTTAAGCAAGAAAACTAGCTTCCACACCAGAATAAACAGTTGTTTTATTCATTTGTCTTCACTCACTTTTGATTTAGGTGCTGGTGTGGACGGCTTAGAGTCTTTTCCATTTTGCTTTGCTTTCTGCATATTTTTTCCCGAAGGCTCACGGACAGGCTGAAAACAAAGCACTTCAGTTCAACATGAAAAATTTCTACTAAATGTTAAGATTGTTAACGTAATACTCAAGACTTGGTGGCAAATACATACTATTTAACATCAAACAAAAAAGCATTATCACTGCCTGTGCAACATGATCAGGGTTCATTATTTAAGCAAAAAGCATGCATGCTACAGGAACTCAAATGAAAAACTGTTGGTGCAACACAATACATAATATAATCAAGATTAAGTTTTGTCACGATACCATACAACTATATGGGACCACCAATACATTTTCCTCATATATTACATCTTTCCTTATATGTTGCCATGCAGACTTTTGGGGCCAGATATTGCACAAGACTATTTCTAGATGGCACTGCAATTCCAAGATCTGACTTTTTTTTGTAACACAACCATCACTCGTTTGACATTTCATGCAGAAATATCACATAGGATTTGTGTAGGCAATGCCATACATATATTGAAGAATTTGGATTCTTATGTTCCTATATAAATCAAAGGACCATTTCATTCAGCCACACTAGATTAGATGAGATGGCAGGAAATCTGCAGTTCGAATTGTCTTTACCAGGCATTAAGCTGTTGTGCTCTATCGCCTACAGAAATTCATTAGGATAGAGCAGCATATAGTGAAGTAAACCATTAAATGTTTGCTTTTAAATAGCAGATATGTAAATATAAATTCAAGCCAAAGCACAAAGTTCAAAAAAATTACTACCTTCTACCTCTGCAGTTGCCAAGCTGTCTTACAGTTTATTTTACCACCAGATGGCACTCAAGGGCTGATGGAATTTCACTTTTGAGCACTTGGCTGCCTGAAGTGAACCTTTTCCAATGGGTTGACACATTTGGATCTTTTTTAATTGAAAGTTAGGTTGCTAAAAACCACCTTTTCACAGCACGCAGGACTAACTGAAATGGTAAAGCACAGTCAACATCCTTGAGCAGGACTGTGTTTGCTGCCCAACAGCCATACACTAAATCCTACCAGTCTGAGAACCACACATGTGTATATGCATGCTGTTAAGCCAGCCATCCTTCTGCTTTAGGGGTCTTCATATGAATCCTCAAAGGTGACTCAAAAATCAGGACAGTTTAACACCTACTATTAAGTTAAGAGATGTTAGCACTTGCTCCTGTTTGAATGAACTTAGCTGCAGATATTAAGTCCATCTGGTGTTATGACTCCCTTTCAAGTTCATTAAACAGGTTCTTTAAGTCTTCACGGGTGAAAAGAGTCACAATGAGTGTTTGTATATATCACTTACTTTCTTCATTGGTGTCTTTATTTCTTCCTCATCATCATCTAAGTCATCCTCATCACTACAATTAGAAAGGTAGGCACCATAACTCAAGATTCATACTCACAGCTTTAAATACATGTGATAGTTTAACTTAGCTGGCAGCCAAACAAGACACAGCCACTCACAGCCCCCCACCCTGCTCCGACCCCTTCACCCTTTCCCTCCCTCTCCCCCCAAGGAATTGGGGAGAGAATTGGAGGGGTAAAGGTCAGGAGACTTGTAGGTCGAGATAAGAACAATTTAATAATTAGAGTAAAATAAAATTAAAATAATAGTAAGAGTAACAATGATAACTATATGAGTGATGCAGAGTAGAGTTGCTCTACATCACCTGCTGATAATGATCCTGGAGAAGTGAAAAGGAACCCTGAAACCAAAATCACAATCCTGGAAAAGCGAGCCCAAGTGATTCCCGAGAGAATCCCCCACTTTACAGTTAATCCCAGTTAATACACTAAACATGATGTAATACGATATGGAATATCTTATTGGCATGTCCCACTGTCAATTCTGGGTTTTACTAACTACTACACTTCTCCACCCCTTCCCTTCCAGTCCTCTCTTCTTGGAAACTGCCCCAAGCACAGTGTCCTTGTAGTTTGTCAACATTTCTTCTCCTAACAATCCCCACTGAAACCAAAACACAGTGCTTTCTGGCTACTAAGAAGAAAATTAACCCTATCCTAGCAAAAACCAGGACGCCACATTAGTAATTAGTCTTTGCCCTCCCCCTCAATTTTTTATTCATGAAGAAAGGAAATAAACTTTCCAAGTCTACTTTATACCTTATTCTAACACATTACAAGGTATCAGGCCAAATACTTTATTTACTATTGCTGAAGGAGCTAATTGTGTTGTCTTCTGCTTTAATACTGAAGGCATGTATTTTAGATCTCCACTACTAATAAAGAAATTCTGAATTTATTAAGTTAATGAATGGCATGAAACTAAGTTTTATAACCCAGTATGACATTTGAACAACACTAATTTAGATTGCACTGCAGAGATAAACTTGAGGTAATTCTGCTTTTTCTACAGTCAAGATAGTTTGCTCACTTAATATTCAGTTATGTCACACAATTTTTATTCTGAAATATTTAACCCTGTAATTCAAAATACATTATCAAAACAAGAATACATACTCATCATCCTCCTCATCATCATCATCTTCATCATCCTCCTCATCATCTTCTGATAATTTTGCTTTTTTCTTAAAAAAGATAAGTATGTGAAGTGTCAATACCATTTTGTCTCAATAAACAGCAACCTTGATCCAAAACAATTTGTGGCATAATTACAAGGCTGTCTTCCATCAATTTAGCTAAAAATCAACAAGCTACAGCTGACAAGTCAAAAACGACTGACATTTACAGCATGCCCTGAGCACATGAACCCTTCCTTCTACACTACAGAGATTCAATCAGCATTTAAACTGATTTAAACATCAGTACACTGATGTTTATGCTAGAATCTGCACACATTCAGTTAACATAGTGGATAAACTTCCACACAAAGCAGCCTTCATATTAGACCCTCCAGCAAAGCTTTGGAAACTACCTGTACTTCCATAATTCAGTACTTGTCAAGACCCAAGTACAAAATAATCCTTCCCCACAGATGGCAACAGACCACATACTAAGTAAATCCTAGCAAGCCATCTAACTGCCTACTCCTAGAGGCAGCATTAACACCAAACCAGAAGACATTTCTGCAGACAAGCTGACGGAAAGTATATATACCTGTGGTGTTTTAGCTCCTCCTCCGGTTGCTGGTCGCTTTGTTGAAGTGTTCACAATTTTTGTATCATCTTCCTCATCGTCTGACTCTGGTTCTTCCTCTAATGCTGATAAAATAATGACAATGTGTAGAAAAACTCACCTCGTTTAACAATATTTTAAACAATATTGCCAGTAAGAAACAAACACTTCCTACTAGCAATCTAACCACTGAGATCAGAAACTTCCCAGTTGACTGTACACAGATACTACTACACCGAAATCCAAAATGGGTGAATAACCAGCTGTACACTTGCCTATAACACTCGTTACAGAAAAACAGCCATAGAAAGCCAAGAATAAAATTTTCTTTATTTCTAAGGAGACACATTTAAGAGAACTTCTAGAGAGAAAGATCAGTTTCAAAACCAATTCTAAAAAGGAGAAGGCTAGTCCTGGCTTAGTTTTTAGTGCTAACTCAAAACCATTTAATGGGCAGCCTTCTCACTCAACTGATAACACCCACTTTTAAGGAGAGAAATTAGAACTCAAATTGCAAGGCTGAAAAACTCCCTTATCCATATAGAACAAGATGCAATAAAATGTATGTATTTCTCTGAACGCCTTTGTCCTACAGTTACCTCAAGCCTCTGAGCACAGTGAATTAAAGATTCAGAGGGTCAGTATTAGAGAAAGTACTGCTTGAGATACCAGATACATTACTCAAGATCTGTTGGTGCCAACAGGTGGCAAGAGCACAGAGTAATACATACCTACGAGATGTTGGCCACTGACATAGACAGGCCCTGAACCGCATTTCAACCTCAAAACCACTGGTGGCGTGATCTCAAAGCCACCTAATGAAACCTAAGGGAAAAAGCACTGTAATTTATTCAAATATAAAGGCAGAGCATGCTTAACAGACAATCCATTAAAATGAAACCATCATCTGTAGACTCCAAAGCTAATACAGTTACTCCAAGTTTTCATCTTGCAGAATATCCCAGACATGTTTAGAGTCAAATCAGGGTCAATAAGCCACAACAGGGTTTACTGCATTCTTGTTGCTTATCATAATTAAAACACACTTTTCAAAGCCAGACCAGTTCACATTTGTTTCTATACCTCTCAGCAGCAATGTCAATTTGAGCATTATCCACCACACCTGCCCCCAGCATTGTGCAGTTCCACTTCTACAAAATCAGCACCACCAATTCAAATTGTATTTCAGATGGCAGGAATGACAAGTACAGAGACCTTATATCAAGAAAAGGTAGTATACATAGAGATGCCAAGTGTCATTGCTATCACTTCTTTAAAAAAAAAATGCACAATCTGAACACAAGTCTATAAACTCCAGGTGTCTAGAGTAAATCTACCAGGCACAAAAAAATACATTCCCATTTAGCTTGTATTTACTACACATGCCAAAACTGACACTTCTCTGAACCCACTGACCACTGTGCAGTTTCACTAAAATTCAGTCAGCCAAAATCCTTTCTAATTTGTCTTTCTCACCTGAGACAGTTTACAGAAGAATTTTCCAAGGTCCTGTACTTACCGTAGGCTGCACTGACATTTTCAGAGACGCCAGTACTACTTTAATAGGGTTGCCTTCATAGTCCAATGCCTCTGCTTCTACGACATGTAATTCGTCTTTGGCTCCAGCCCCCAAAGTAACCTGCAAAGAAAAGCGCATATTCTGAGCATCTTCCCAAATATTCTGAAGTTTTTTAAACTCCAGTCACTGTTCTGCATCTCGTAAGACTGAAATTTGTATTTGCAACTGCTAATGATTCAGTTGCACTCTGCCCCAAGCCAAAAGCCTCTTGCCCTCACTGGTACTTGCAAGGTGAAACTTGAGGCAAATGTTGTGGTAAGAGTGAAAAGCAGACCTTTTGCTACTGGATTACTGCATTGAAACAGGTCAGTGACAAGTCCAGTCAGCACTGAAGCTGGCCCAAGGGAAGAATTACAAGCACATGCCTACATGGAGGGCAACAACTGCCATCACTACTACAGAATCACAGCCTTATCCTTCCCCTTCCTGCCATGTTTCATCTGCCAATTGCTCCATTTTATCACACTACTCACTTTTTGCTTACTTGACATTCAATGAGGAGTTAAGTCTGAACAACTGCTCACTTCAGTACTGCCATTATGCATATGCCTTCTGCATTAATTCACCCAGAACCAAGAACTCCTGTCCCAGAGCATTTCAAAACCCAAAATCATAGCTGCAGAGAGGCAAATGAGTTGACAGACTTGGGACAGACCTGAAATTCCGGTTCTCTGAACTGCTGGCATCTGAGTCATGATTATGTGCAAGAGAAGTGAAAACCAAGAATCCCTTGAAGTACTACAATTATTACCAAGACAAGTGAACAAGGCTCCATTTCCTTTCCCAATGCCCATGAAAAGAAAGCTTTCCACCCTTCATGGAAGATGTGGACATAAGCACTTCAGGCAGAGGCATGCAACTCTAATTTCCATTCTCCCAAGAGCTGAGTTTTAGGCAGGCTGTAAACCACCCAGACAAGATGTATCAGACTGAAGGCTGGGAAACAGGATATAGGGTTCATGATTCCTGGCAAGTTTTGTTACTGTAAATTTAAATTGCTGCTCTGATCTCGTCTCTCAAATGTGTTACCAACAACAATGAACCATTCAGCTAGTGGGACTATCCACCAGGACAAGAATTTAAGAGAATGCCCTCCACCCCAGTTACTCTTGTCATTTGCACCAGTTCAAGCAATACTGTGGCACTTGCCATTAATTTGTTTACTGAGTGTCTGGCAAGTCTCCATTCATGTGCTTTACTTCCTACGCTGAAGGAATGTACGCTGGGAATAAATAGGTAATGAAGCAGTGACCATCCCTCTTTATGTTTTCAGCTATCATTATCAAGACATTTACTGAAACCCTCATGCTACTTTCTACCTCTGCATGCATCAATCCTCCTTCCTTTTCACTTTTATCCTTTTTTTCTCCCCACTTCTTTCTGCACCTCATACCCAAGTCCATTGTCACATTTTTATCTTAAATGACACATGCCAGTCAATCTTTATATATCTAGTCTTTTATCAGGTGCACAGATCAGTCACTGAGTATTTGCTGCCTTCATACTTTATCTTCCATCAGCTTTGCTTGCCAAGGCATTTTCTGTCTGTAGCTATGTCTAAGATATTGCAAACCTCTTAGACATTTCCATCTTGCCATTTTTTATTCCAATCCCCATTTTTCCTGTATATCATCTTTTGTCTTTAAAAAGACAGGCTATCGAATTAGGCTTTTTTCCCCACAACCCTAAAAACTAAGTACTGGTATGCATTCAAACTGCTTCACCCTCCAGGGAAAGCGCACAGCATCAGGCAACTTTCAAAAAAACAGCATCTTTGGATAAAGCCACACAACTCCAGTATCATTCAGTGACTAATTCAATCGGCCTGACAAACATTCAGATATGAGAACTATGAACTTGTCCTATACATACTTTACTGTTATAGTCTTCCCTCAAAAGAAATTCTAATTAAGAACAAATTAGTCATTGTCAAGTGTAGTCTGTAATTTTCCTAAAATGCAAGAACTGAAGACATACGATTTGTGAAAAAACTATAATGCCTATATTAAAGTGTTTTAAGTATCACTGTGAATTAAGTTTGGAGAGCATTATTATGAAAGTCTCATGTAGGAAGCAGTTGTGCTGTAGGAAGTAATTTACATTTGTAAGGCTCTTGTTTCCAGGTATCATCAAGATATCTCTTTGTATGTAAATAAATTCAGTAATAAACCACAAAGTAGAGAGATGCTCCAACTCTTCAATTCCTTTCCTGTGAAGTTGTGGCATACCATGTTTCTGCTAACCAAAAGTTAGCTAACATGCTCAGTCCAGAACAAAAGCTTTGAAACTATGTGTCTTGCTTGCTGTGGCAAAAATCTAAGAACACATCTAAGTACTCTCAGTGTACAGATCCTGATTTCCAGGAGTATCCTCTTTGGCAGAGTCTGTTAGATGAATTATCTGAGTGAAAGACAGTATTTCCTAGATACATCCTCAGAGAGAGCAACACAAAGGACAAATAAATCAAAACATAACCCACTCCCTCATTTAGATTTAGTTATTAGCTGCTTATGGAAAAAAAAAACCACTGGAATTGTTTGGGGAACATATGGAAAAGCTTTCAAAATTAAAGTTTCTATTAAAGTCTAGTAAAATGTGCCCATGCACGATTCCTATAAATCTATCCTCCTCCTGGAGGATCTGAACTACTGCATTACAGATGACAGCATGTATATTCTGGCCTTTAGCTTCCTTTAGTATACATTAACCCACTGTGAATTCATTTTTTAACTTTTCTAGACCTGCACTGCTTGCTGTAAATGACAAAACATTAGTGCATATTCTAAGGTTTTTTCAATACAGCAAATATTTCAAGTGGTATGGCATGCTCCACTCACAGTAAGAGCTTACCATTCAACAGATTATCACATCAACAAACTTACCACTAAAAGAAACAAGTCCCAGCAAGTAAATGGACATGTTAAAAAACTCACTTCTCGCAACATTGCACACCACTACTTAAAAATAAAAACCAAATAATACTTGCCGTTCTCAAAGACAACTGATGTTCGTTTTCTTCATCATCTACTTTGAACTGATACTCCTTATCTGCTTTAAGCTCGCAGCCTATAAAAAGACCATTCAGTTATAAACATATTATTTTATTTATACGTAGGCATTTGCTAACCGCTTGCTATTTTAAAACTTGTTGCTTCAAAGCGCTGTAGTTGCCCAGAAAACCACGGCACCGCGGGCAAACAAGAGAAACACGTGGGGTGGGGAAAACCCCAGGCAAGCCCGCGGCCTACTCCCGATCACGCAGCCCCCAACGAGGTGCTTTCAAGCCCATCCGCTGTATGACCACTTACGTTCAGTGCTCTCGGCGCTGCCCGGGGATATACTGCATCCCCGGACGCCC